AGGTTTATTAATGGTTTTATAGTTAATTATTAAACTAATAGTCTAATACGAGCATATCAGTATAATACCAGTATAATAAATTAATGGTTTAATTTTTCACAAAAAGAAAAAGTTTAACGGGTTCACCATTTTTTATATAATATACTACTCCCTCCATCCCGCTAAGATTGTCTCATTTTACCTTTTTGGTCCGTCCCACTAAGATTGTCTCATACGAAATTTGGTAAAGTTTGTGTGGCTCTAAATTACTCTTACTTTATCAATTCAATATCAACCACATACACCACTTTTTATTAGGTCAGCGACTCAGCCTGGACAAATTAATAGGAACGGAGGGAATAGTTGTTGATTTGGGTAGAACAGTTTGGTATAATGGTGTTTAATAAGATTAAAAGGATATCCCTTACATTAATGAATGATGTATAAAAAAAATTGTTTTTGTAAAAAGAGTAGGGTATTAGTGGAAAACATTATAACCTAGTAGGTCATTTCTCAGACTCTTGACTTTTTTGAAGCATCAAGTTATAAACTCTAAAAAACAAACACTGAATAGGACATTACTACTCTGCTGTACGTCACATGAAATTGTAAATTAAAAAACAATACTCTAAAGTCTAACAACTGAAAAGACAATAAGGAAAGGGCAGAGGTAAGAGTGCATTCATTGTACCTTACAGCAGCATAGCTTAGGATTCCAATTGCAACTAAACCAAATACAGCTCCACTCCATAACAAAACTTTTGTCTTAAATGTGAGATCTACAATCAGTTGATCCTTGGTCATCTCCGATCTATAAAAGCAGGAACAAAACTATTCACCTAACAAAGAAGCAGAAATAGTGGCTGCTGTATTGAGTTGATTTAGTATATCTATTGTGGCATATTCCTGACCGCAAAACTCTACTCAAAATCACATTCAAATTAAGACATGAGTTGATAACACTTGCAAACCTCAATAAGCAATCACAAGTTGCACAATAAATTCATGATGAGATTGTTATATAGATCATATGTGTCTAGTAAGAGAGATCTCAACACACACAAACACACCCAGCCTGTCTCCAATGAGGTGAAAGGAACATACAAGAAAACAGGAAGATAATTGCAGGCTTTGATCTCTAGAGCTCCACCACTCGAGCTGCAAATGCCAACTGCAGTTATCTCCTTCCCAAGCGGCAGGATTTTTTCTTCATCTAGCAAGGCAATCTTTGCAAACAGAATGAATATTATTTATAACTGAGAAGAGATTTAGAATTTGAGCAATCAAACAGAAAACGTAAGATCATTCATACTGACAGGATACTGATGACCAAGAAGTGCCTGGAGGCATGTAAGTGGAGTGGCTTCAACTGGATGTAGGTCATGGTAGACTGTTACAAGTGGTAGGGGGTGCGTTGATCCATCCAGCTTAACATTAACATATTCGGACTGCGGCCACCTTCCAGCTTCAACAATCACAAAGGGGACCTGTTACCGGAATTAATTCAAGTACATAAGATTCTCTTTAAAAGTAAAAAACATACCCTATGGTTTAAAATTTTTTGTTTTGATGATAAACTATGACTCAATTTTGGTTCCGTTGTTTATACTTCTGCATGTAAACTTTGATTTTATATAAGGAAAGTACAGATAGTAGCTCAATTTTTTAATCAATGTGTACTAAATTTCTGGAGACTTTCGGGCAATAAGACAAAACCACTTTTTGGATAATGGTAAAAAACTAATAAGTTTATAGTTGAGCTATGTCAGATGTATAGGAAGTGCTTTAAAGTTAACAATGTTCATGCTTCAAAGATAAGAACATTCTAGCCAACATAAATAACTGCATATGGCACAATGGATGAAAAACCAGTCCTACTGTCCTACAACATGAAAAATCAACTTAAGAACCAACTTTAATGGATGCCCAGTCCACAAATCAACTTTCCATGAAAGAATATACAAAAGCAAACAATTCTATGTCTGAATTTGTGTCTGAAACTCATGTAATGACATATTGATCCATATGGAAACATAGTATCATGCTATATGCACAAATGGCCCACTCTCTTATTAAGAATGAATAACATACCCCAATGTGGACATATTTTATGTGTTGCCAGATCTACTACTACACTCAGCTGTCAGTATTATATACCAGTATGGAATTATTTTCGGATATTCCATCATGAACATATTCTTAAGATGAAACTTGTATACACTCGTTATGAAATAGTAATAGTGCACAATCTAGTAAATAATGGAACGGCTTTTTATCTTCGAGACATGATCATCATAATGTAACTTTAAATATTTAAATCCTAGGCCCTTTCCACTTTGAGGTAACCCCTTTACTCTTTTTTTATTAAAGTAACCCCCAAACACTGAAAAAGAGCATCCTAAGCTATCCTGTTCATTGGTTAAACTAATCTCTTCAAATCTTAAGCAGGAAGGGTGGTTTCACTCAATCACAAGCACAACAATATTTAAATGCATAACATAAACCAGACTTGGACTACACTACTAAAACCAAGAAACAAACACCTCACTGCTATAAAAGACGGAATTGCAACATTCACAAGTTCCTGAGTTCTTATACACTACCGTTCTTATGGAGGATGACTTATGCTCTTTCCAAGATCTTGTGAATAGTGAACGTAAATCACTGGTCCATCCCAGGAAACCTTTCCAATCATTGTATATACACTACACAAGATAAAGATAGAGTAGTAAACATCCCAACATAATAATCCAATGAAGACATAAACAACAGAGATTGATCTGGCATATAAAAATACACAGATCCAAATATCCAACAACTGTAATGCTGCTATAGGGATTGGGACCCTATTAGGTTGTTATTAAGCTTAGTATAAATATAAATTTAATAAACAGAAGTACGTTTTTTATTGACACAGAAGGTATATGATACAAAAATGAATAAATGATGACTGCATTACGGTAACATTTCTTCTTATTCTAATGGATACTCTAACATCAGCCAACATACAGTATGAACTAGCGTCATACAGTATTATATATAGACATCTCTTTTACCATTAAAGTTTTAACTTACACATAGCTATAAGATGAAGTGTGTGATTTTTAAGAATATTTGGCACCTCATTTTTTGGACAGGAACAATGTGGAGGCTAAGCACACACCATTTAGTTTATATCTTATTAAATGGAATGTTTCTAAAAACGAATGATGAGTAAATGAAATGTTATATAAACACTGGTTATATTATGACTTCAATTTTATAAAATCTCAAATATTAGGAATAGTCTTAGCTGTTCAAAAACCCTCCGAACCCTCCTATTTTCAAATACATAGCGGCATTTATATTTTACCCAACTAACTTAACTACATCATAAATAAAAAGTACTTCATACGTTCTTTTTTTATAATTTTTTTAATTGAAGATAAATGACACTTCAACAGTAGTTCAACTACAGAATCAATTTTAGATATTATTTCATGTGCTTTATCATGAACACATTTTAAAAGATAGTTCACCCAACTTCTATCATCCAACTAACCAGGCAATTCAGCAGATTCCACTATTTCACCCAAATGCACCCAAACTTAGGTGTAATAAACTCATTTTTAATTTTACTAAGGGAAATAGCTTGGGAGTTAAAGTACGAAGTAGGTCATTCAAGACAAACGAAACCAGACGGAAAATCTTGAATTGCACCATATAGCTACAGTTTGAGTAGCAACCAGTAATGGTAATTCCTTCATTCCCTTGACGTGATATATGAAAGATGAATACAAACATAGAATAGAATAGCAAGTGAATTACACTTTGTGTTCGCTGTAAAATGACAGCCTTCTCGCCAGAATCATGAGCAACGAGCACATTGGTCATTAGGCTCTTCCAATTGCCTTCCACGACGGACTTTGCTTCAACCTTGCCTCGGACGATCACCAAACTCCCTTCGTCTGATTGGTTCGATTCTTTTTCGGCATCTATGAGGGAGCTGAGATCCGAAACGCGGACCGAAGGGGCTTCCTTAATTTTGTGCAGAGCTGAATTTGTAGCCTTAAACTTGAGTATGCTCCGCACAGCAACGAAAGCTAAGGTTAGACCAAGTAGAGCGCCGTCCGCCGCCAGTGCTATCTGAGTAAGCACTGCCCCCACCGCATGGTCGTGGCTGGACATCGTTCGGCATCAATTACCGTGATCCTGGATATCTTCTTAACCAGATTTACAGTCTCCCAAAGTCCCAGCAGAATAAACTGGATTCTAAAATGTTACTCAGTAATTATACGTGTATAAAATGTTACGCACTTCGTTAGAGTCAGTTGTAATAGACTCATCTGTAATTAGCTTAGCATATCGTGTATAAATACCGGTTGTACGTAGGGCTTTTAACGAACTGAACCAAGCCCGAATACATAAAAGCTCGAGTCCGGTTCGATAAGGAATTAGTGGTGTTTGGGTTCGAACTTGAAGCTCGGTGAGCTTTACAAATGAGGCTCGTGTTCGGCTCGATAGGTGTTCGATGTTTAAACCGAGCGCTCGATAAGCTCGATAAATATGTCCGAATTTAAAATTTTAGGTGATGCTCGTTAATAGGCTCATGCTCGAATGTTTCGACAAGTATTTGACAAGTATGAATTTAATAATCATATTTAAATTCATAAAATCATACTAATTATTTTTAAATTTTGACATATATATAAATTATATTTATATTTTTTAAGGTGTTCGATAGGCTCGAGTTCGAACCGAGCCGAAAACTACTATGTTCAAGCTCGGCTCGATTAATTTTTCGAACTTAAAACTCAGCTCGGGTTCGAGTTTGAAAGCTCGTTAAGCTCGGCTCGTTAGGTTCGAAACCGAGCTCGAACTCGAATAGTTCGATAAAAGCTCGGTTCGTTAACAGCCCTAGTTGTACGCAACTATTCTCAGTAATGAGAATCAATTTTGCCTTCCTTTTTTTTTACCTCACTTCCTTCCTAATTAAAATTTTTACCCCATCTTTCTTATGCCTTCGATCCATCCCAATCTCCCGCCCCATACTCCCGCATTCATCCCTCGACTTCGAACTAGCCTTCCCAAATCCGAACGACAACAAAACGCATCCATCTACGCCGGACTGAATCGAACTCCATCACAGAAAGGTTGTGTGTCGCTGCTACATGGGAGAAACGAAGGGAGAGACTGCTCCGGCGGACTGAACCGACCTCCCATCCCCCGGAAAACGGAAATCGCTACTCCAACGACGAACGACCTTGAGACTGCTCCAAGTGGACGAGGCGTTGCTCCAACTTCTTTGGAAAACGCAGAGAACGGCCGGAAATAAGTTGCTTCAAGATTTGAGGACTTTAAAGATCCATTCAAATTAGTGAGTGTTTAAAGTGTGAAGCTATGGTGCGAACTAGTTTGACAAATCTTGTTGGAAGGTAATATTTTCATCCTTGTGTAGTACTCACCTTAGGAAAATTGATTTAATTTAATTAAATAAGACCTAATTTTGTTTTCTATGATTTAAGAGTTGTCTGAGATGTTGTTTGTGTGTTGTGAGATGTCTGTCACACGTTTTGAATTATCTGTAAAGGGTTTAGAAATGTCTGTGATGTTTTAAATAAATGTCTCTCATTCACATTTTGAGTTGTCTCTCATTTGTTTTGTGTTGTTTGTAAGGACTTTATAAATGTCTGTGATGTTATAAATAGATGTATGACATTCATATTTCCTTGTCTGTCATTTGTTTTGAGTTGTCTATGAGGACTTTACAAATGTATGTGATGGATACATAGATGTCTGTGATTCATATTGACTTGTTTGTCTTATGTGGTGTGCATTTTTGGACATGTGATGGGGCTTTCAAATTGCAAAGACGTTGCAAAGTTGGTGAAATCAGCTTTGTCTGTTCAGTAGATTTCTCAGTTTCGGAAGATGTCGTGGGCCCATCTTCTTGATGTGCCAAACCTTCAGCTCTCTTCTCAAATTGCCCATAGCTTGTTGTTAAGGCTTGTGAGCAGCCCGAAGACGAACTATGGTTTTGCGTGAACGAGAAGTTGTTGAAGTTTACGTATGCCAACTTTGAATGCAACATTGGCCTCCGTTCTAAAGGTCCAACTTCAGTCTTCTCCTATGATGATGAAGGCAATGGGATGTTGCTAGATAACTACTTTGGTGGTGCCACCGAGATCAGCTTCAGGACGTTGACGAAAAAGATGAAATCAATTAAGCCGAAAAAGAGAGGAGCTCGCGGTAATGCTTTGAAGCTTGCATGTGTTTTTTATGTTTATGTGTTTTACTACCAAGGAACAAGAAAACAAACATGAATTCACAGCTTCTGAAATGGGTTGAGGACTTAGAGAAATTTAAAGCTTGCCTTTGGGCAAAAGAGTCATACAATTTGATGGTTTCTCATATAAAGACCTTTATGGTTGGGCAAGCCGATAAGTTCAACTAGAGTAAGGCCGCCAATCCCAAATACAAAAACGCAAAGTTCACATTGCACGGGCTTCCTCACGTCCTACAGGTAATGTAGGCATTATATTTCATTGTGTGTTTTGTATTGTCATGTTTGCATGAAACACATGGTTGTCTGTATGTCGACATGTCATTTGAAAGACAAACAATATTATTCTCTCACACAGACAACATTATTCTTCCACACATACACTTCGTCCTTTCATACAGAAAATTCCTTAGTGTAGAACTGTAGACAGACAACTTATTCTGCCACACATTGTTTTTGTTTAATTGTCTTTTGTGTTTTTCAGGTTTAGACTTACGAGAGTTTGCCTGAGCTAGGACGGAGATGTGTTGAATGCGTTGGTAATCATGAAGTCCCCTTGCTCAACTGGAAGGCTACGGGGTTCTTTCATTTGCATAAGCTAAATGAACTGGTTTTCAAGGATCATTATGATGTAATGTATTTGTGTGTTTTTAAAATAATAAATTTTGCATCAAAGTGTGTAAATTAGTATAGCTTATACGTGCATGAGGAAGAAGAAGACGAGGAAGACCATGGTGAAGAAGCAGCGGTGGATAATATCAAGGATAATGAAGGGTTCAAAGCTAAGATGGTGGAGGACATGGAAATGCTACGGGCGCAAGTGGCGGCCCTGGAGGAGAGGTTGAAAGTAATGGAAGAGAGGATGAATGCCGGGAGTGTGGCTGAGGTGGATGTTGATGTCCATCACAAGTCTACCAAAGTTGAGGGGAAGCATGATGAAGATGAAGATAAAGATGAACGCAAAGAGGGCCAGGTTGCTGACGAGGGCAATGAAGCTGAAGTCCAAGATGAAAGGCAGGGAGTCGCACATGGTGTTGAAGATGAAAAGCATGAGGAAGTAAGTCTTATTGTGTTTCCCACTATAGAACAAGTTTCCTCTTTCCATACAGTGCTGAATTGTCTGTCTTTCCTTGCCTTTTGTTTGTATCATATATTTTTTGTTTGGCTGCCTGTCCTTTAACATGAAATGCAGGTGGATAATGCTAATGCATCCAATATTAATGAGTGTGTAGTGAATATGGATTATGGTGGACTTTTTTTAATCAATGGACTTCTAAAAAAGTTTATGGACTTTTAAATCAACAGACTTTTTATGAATGAATTCTATTGATTTTTAAATCTATGGATAAGTTTATAGACTTTTAAAAAGTCCATAGACTTTTAAATCTGGACCGCCATTGTCGGTCGTCGGAATTTCACCAGAATCACCGCTGCCGATTTGCCTTTCCGCCTCTGTCACTGGAGTTCGCCGCCAACAGAATGACTTTGGTTATGCAAGGGAAATATGGGAAATTAATTATAATAATTAATTATATTAGGGGGAGAAATGTAATACTCCGTATTTAGTCCTCCATCATCATTACCCCGGTGCCGCAAAGGCTCCCACACCTTCGGTGGGGTAAGGGGAGGTCGGATGTACGCAGTCTTACCCCTGTGCTAAAGCACAGAGAGACTGTTTCCAGATGACCCATAGTGAAAATCGCGTCGAAAATTACATGGACTGACTGTAGCTTCATAACAAAGAAGCGCAGACAGTTTAGTAAGCCATGTTGCTTTATTCCATCATATTCCCAAGCCCAAAAATAATGAGTCTTTGGCTCCATTACAAATGATGGAAATAGGAGGTAGTATTTAGTCCTATTTAGTGAAAATCAAACATATGATCATACTTTGGTAAAATGCTACAACGTATGTTTTAGTCCTACCATGAGTAATTTCTTATGTGTAATATGATAAAAAAAACAATTGTATACATAAGTAAATAAATGAAACAAATGTAATTCATCCAGCAACGCAAAGTTCTACAAAAATAAATGAAGCATAAGAACCCAAATTTATTTTTGGTAAAAAGAAACTCAAAGCTTCGAGAATGCTCAACAATCTCGATATATGTATGATCAATTGTTATACTCCGTATTACACAACTCAATGAGTAAGAACATTGATAATTACACAAGTGTTACACTCATTGCTACACATGGTACAAACATAGGTGAAATCGAGTTTTTCTTCTTAATAATTGTTTTTTTTTTTTCATTTTTAACTTGTTATATTTGGTATACTTATTTACGTTGAATGTTTAGTAATTTGAAATTATATTTTTATGTGTTACCAGGTTAACGATGAAACACATTAATAGTTAAAAAAAAATCTTAATGATTAACTGACAACGTACCAGAATTGATATGGGATTAACGGTTCAAGAACTGAACTGATCTCACCCCTACATTTTTCTTCATACGACGACATATAAAATATCAGTATTTATTTATTTTTTTAAAATTGAAAAGATAAGTTTATCTTGTGTATCAGTATTAGTGCAGAAACTTCTTGTTCAACTTATGTATCGTAAAATGATAGGGGAAAAAATCAAAATTTAATGTTCAAATCTTGCATAATGAGACCATCCTGGTACCCACCTTCCGTCCCGATTGGTACTAGTCCAGAATTTGTTGGCCGGTTTGTGATCTCAGCTAAATAATTAGCTAAATCTGCAATCAGATCTATGTGTACTTATGATGAGTAGAAGACGACTATAAAAGTTCATAGAAATCTTTGGTGAAAAGAATAGACAATTGCAGAAAATTAATGTACTAAAAATGAGTTAAAAGTCCACGAGAATCCGTAATTTTAGAAATCCATAACAATGAACGGAAATTTGAATACGCCTAGACTTTTATAGACTTTTAAAAGTCTATATTGAATACACCCAGACTTTATAGACTTTTAAAAGTCTACATTGAATACACCTAAACTTTTAAAATCCACGGACTTTTAAAATTTTGTCACTGACTCCTAATACAATACACCCCCAGGAAAACATTGTCCTTAAAAAATGATACGGAGTACATTAATCATTTTTACTAAAGTACATGAATGAATTATTTAGATGACAGTAAAATGTTTGTTTTTCACTTTAAAATTAATATTGCTTTAGATGTCAGCATTTATAGTAATTTTTTATTTCAAACAATTCAAATAATGTCGGTCAAATATGAGTGACCTGATTATGTTGGGGAATAAGGGGTAGGAAAAGAATGGCAGTGCTATTTAGGGAATATAGAATAGGGAAAAGAGGCAAATAAGCCCTCGAACTAATCAAAAAAGTGCAAATAAGCCCTTTTGTAGGAGGTTCCGCCCGGCCATCGTCATTTGGGGAGGTTCCCGGTGAAATTTTTTGATGAAATTTTTTGAGTATCTTATTCATTAAGTCTAGTTTAGTCATACCGAATTTCAGCTAAAAATTCAATCGGGAAGACAGTCAAATGAATTTTTGAAGATAACTGCGCAGTTAAACAACACAGTATATTTCCGAAAATCATTTGAGTGCCTTCCCGGTTGAATTTTTAACTGAAATTGACCAACGCAGTTATTTCACTTGAGTGCCTTCCCGGTTGTACACATATTAGAAGAGTAGAATAATATTTCACTCTTATTTGAGGCAATTGCTTTATTAGTTAGGTGTTTCATTTGTAAAAGTTCCATGATTGGATAATATTTCACTCTTATTTGAGGCCATTGCTTTATTAGTTAAGTGTTTCATTTATAAAAGTTTCATGTTTGTACTATGCAACTAGTTTTTTACACGCACGTTGCGCGATTGAGTAAATGCTCAATGTTGTGTACATAAAATGCAATTTATAGAGATAGCTTTAAAATCCGATATAGAAAAAAAGGATGTTGGTGAAAGATCCCAAATGGGATTAAGGCATCAGCAATAGCTTTAACCATATAATGCTTTCCTGCAATTTTTTTAATCATTCATTGGAGCCATTGCCATGCTCCGTGAGCTGATCATGTGTTTCATAATTTGCATAATAACTTTAGAAACTGTTGAGATTTCATCCTCCCATCGAGCTTTACAATGAGCTGTCCAAATATTCCATACTATATAACCCCAGGAAGAATACCAATATATTGGCCATCAAGAAAATGCCGACTTGCAGCAAATCACCATTTGAAACAGCACTGTTTAAGAGTGGTTATGGAGCATTTTATGTGCAATAATCCAAAGAAAAAAACGTCAAACTTGAGATGAAAATTGACAAGAATGCAACACATGTTCTGGGGTGTTAATCTTGATTTACTTTTCAAATGAAGCAGCGAAGAACCTCTACAACTCAGGTCAATGAGGATGAATGGTTACAGCTCAGGTCGATGAGGATGAATGGCTACAACTCAGGACGAACCGAGTACAGCTCACGGCAATTTCCCTGCTAACACTGCAATTGACATGCTTCCGTTTAGCCATTTGTAATATTTTTTAATTATATACTCCGTAAATACTAGAAATAGAAAAAGAGTAGCCCTTTGTGAAATTTCTTAATTCTTTACGGCTCAATGCAGTTCTGCACTAAATTTAAGAAAAATCTTAAAACTTATGCATGGTTCTGTAATAAACTTCTTTGTAGTTCTTTGAAGCTTCTTAAATCTTTATGCTTCTTAAGGCTATAGTCTTTTTATTGAAACTTTTCTTCAATAAACTATTTTGAGTGCTACTTGTTCTATATTGTTGATTTGATAGGTGAATGATTCTCGCTAATTTGAGTTGTTTGATAAAGAAGAGTACATGCCTACTGCCATCAAAGTTATGAATTCTTTGAAGAGGAAAAAAAGATGAATTGATTGAGTAGGAGAAGCAATTGAAGAAGTTTGGCAGGGAACATCAAACTATGGCAAGAGGAGAAAGTTTAACTGAATAATCAAGTGATATGGTGGTAAAATGGCATGGAGGAGAAACCTTTACTGAATACTCTACTGGGTGTTAGAAGCTGAGTTAGAGGAAATGAAATTGAGTCATGTATCAAAGATAGAGATTTAAAGTGTAATAGCTAGATTGCTAGTACTTGCCTTTGTTTTTGATAGGTGTATTTGTGTCAGTTGGTTTACTTGTAAACAAAATTTGTTGAGTACTATGGAGTATATCAGTTAGTGGATGGTATGATTTAAAATGTATTGAGTACCATGTCAATTTGTTTTGGGTCTTATTCTGCAGCTCATGAAATAAAATGTATTAAGTTTATTGTGAAATTGTTTGCCTCTCGCTATAGAATTTTCTTGATCATTCCACACTTCTTTCATTGCTTTGTCTTGAAAAATGACTTGGAGCACCCCTGCAGTCATCTGGTATGCAAAAACAAAAACAAAACAAATGGAGCTCCCCTGATTTGCAGAAAGAACACCATGACTGTGACCTGGAGTGCCTCTGGTCCACAAACAACAAGGAACAAAATACATACCACTACACAACATTAAACTTGCTAACTAGCCACTGGAAATTTATGCATAAATCAGATTTACCTAACATTATGCATTAAAAGTATATAAATAATTAAGTACCACTTACATTTAAATACACTCTTGCATCGTCACCATAAAACACCCTCGTCCACTAGGGAGTAGGGACACCTAGGGTACAATTTATAGTCTCGAGTGGCCTTCCTCCGGGCTAGGGGTGGACCGGGCCCGGGTCGGGACCGGGTCGGGTCATGGGCGGGACTGGGGTTGGAAGTTGGAGGCCTAGTACCGGCCCGTGTAGGTTCCGGGACCAGGTCGGGTCGGGCCGGGTGTAATATATACTCCCTCCGTCCCATTGGACTTTGTCAGCTTTCCTTTTTTGGTTGTCTAAAAAAACTTTGCCACTTTTCTATTAAAGCAAGTAATTTGTGGTTATGCACATTTTTCTCTCTTCTGCACATATCTCTCTCTTCTGCACATATCTCAACCACACAGTTTTTACTATTCTTATTTCTCACCTATTTTGCACTTGACAAAGTCCACCGGGACGCAGGTAGTATATTTTTTTAAATTTTGATTTTCTTATTTATTCCTACCCCCACCCCTACCCCCACCCATACCCCCCACACCACCCAGCCCAATCCAATCCAACCTAATCTGTTCGAGAGAAGAAAAAAATTTGGCCCGGACCAGTCCGGAATGGCCGGGCCGGTTCCAAGAGGGCTGCAGCCCGCCCCCAAAACACCCTCGGGTCGGTTACTAGGCCCGGTCCCGATCCCGGTCAACCGAGCCGGGCCGGTACTGCATAGGCGCACAGTGGCGGTCCGGCCCGGCCCGACCGGTCCTGGTCCACCCCTACTCCGGGCCTTTTGGGTTGGTTAGGATCGATAGCTAGAATGCTTTCTTGGATGGTTTAGTAGGACACAGGGTTATAAGTATCTCAATTTTACAAAGTGGGAGATATTTATACAATATGGACAAGTTTGGGGTAGAAGTATCACACTTATGCAAAGTTTAGGGTATTTTATATATTTTCTCCATTTCTTTTATGTCACATATACATTGTGCACATTACAGCATTGAAGATGTTCTTAAATATGATTATATTAGAGCTCATTTGCAAAAAAAACATTTACATCTGGATAAAAATGTGACTAATATAGAGTACTTCGTAATAGATTTGGAAATATATGATCTCACTATCACATACTAGCATATTTTTATTTCGCTATCAAGTTTTTATGTCATCATTACTTGAAACATGACACTATGATTGTAAAAAAAACAGTAACTAATTCTGTCAATTTTCAAAAAATGGAAAAGAAATCATCAAACATTGTGTTGAATTTTCGAGCGGAGGTTTTGTAATGACAGTTTCCTATGATGCTTGGGCAGGTGTGGGGTGGGGGCAAGCAAAGATTGGATATAAATTACAATGAGAAAAAATTTGAATTAATTAAATCAAATGTAAGTCGTATTTTTGGAAAAAGGGAATTAGAAGACTGGGTAATATTTATAAGCAATGTATTAATTAAATAAGGTGTTGTGCTCTTATGGAGAGTTATGAGTGTTAATGGAGTAAATAAATAAATAAAAATTAGAAGTGGTGATAAACATTGGAGCTTTGAACGTTCAAATTCTCTCTTTAACTCTTTATTTATTGTTAATCTTCATGTTCTTTTTAAAATTCTCCAACAGTCGCTGCTCATATCTTCCTCTACCTTCTTATGGTTATGTTAGTTGGGCATAGGCCATGTTTTCGGTGAATCGCTTATTTCCTGAAAAATCCACCAAGCAATGTACTATCGCCAAATCGTCGAATATTGAGTTGCACCAAGTGCTGCATCTGAAATTCTTTGGGTAGAATCACTCCTTCATGAGCTAGCATTCTCCTCCACTTCTTCATTGCGATTACAAATGTGCTAATGGGATTGAGCTAGTCTATTTATTAAATAAAATTTGCTTTCTCCCCAAGTATTGACTTCTACTTTGTTCATCAGTTTCTTCAATGTGGGATTCTTCATGTCCATGCCATCACATCCCATCTCATGATCAAGTTGGTGATTGTTTTAACCAGAAATTAAACTACTCTAAAGTATATATTTAAAATGGGAATCAAGCAATAATGAATCAATATGGACGAATTGATACTGGAGATATATATATATATATATATATATATATATATATATATATATATATATATATATAAATTATGTATCTCTCTGTATTGATTTAGAGCTTCGAATACAGAATTTTTGGGAAGTACTAATGTGCCTTTTTCGTGAATAGCAGCAGTATGTGTGCTGAATGTATCGTGTGTTACCATGGGATTGAGCTAGTCTATTTATTAAATAAAATTTGCTTTCTCCCCAAGAATAGGAACTGAACACCTATTTCTCCTCCACGTGCCACTTTTTCCTCTTGACTCATTCATGGACTCTTTTTATACATATCTTTTCTTTAGTTTTCAGCCAGCCTGTGTTGGAGGGCTACGGTAAACTTGTGGGCTGCCCGGACTTATTCCTATTGCTGCACCCGCTGGACCATGTGTATTTTTCTAGGCCCAACATTTGCACCCTTTCGAGAAGTTGAGGCGTATGTGCGCACATGTCAACACGTTAAGCGTCAACTTGTCGAAATCTTGAAAACTTTGATGTCTGTCATCCTTGAAAATCGCCCATGTAAACTTGTAATCTGTCTGATCAGACATGTTGTCAACCTGTCATTCGTATAAAAGACACTTTTGTCAACTCGTCACTTTTCTGACTACATGTCTCCTTCAACCCGTCACTCATCTAATGAGACGACTTCGTTAATTCTGTGCAAGTAGTTTTTAGATCGAATTTGTCTCCTTGAGTGAGGTGACAAAGAACGAAGGCTGGTCTCCTGTCATCTTCCTCCCAATTTGTGCTAATGATCGTATCTAAGCAATGTTGACAAGTTGAAACTTTGTCTAGGTAGATGTCGACACTTCGGTTGGCAAATGTGATTTCGTCCCTCGCTGTATAAATGAGGGGTTTGACTCTGTGAGTGTTACCGTAACCTGTAAAAACTTTAAACACCGTTTAGTTTGTTGTTTTAATAATATCATTGACATGAATATTTATGATGTATGTCAATATCGTTCGTGTTGTCCCCTTATGTTTTGGAGCTTGTGTTGTCGTGCTCTTAGAGCACGTGCTTCTGTGGTGTATTTTTCTGTAGTTTTGGATGTGGTTGTTGTTCCACATGATGATGTCACTTGTACGTGTACTGTTGTTGTTTTGTGTTTGTCTGACTTTGATGTTGTCAGCATTTGTGATGTATGATCTGTCTGTCGTTTTGGCCAAAACATTGCGGAGAATCGGTGGTGTTTATACTCATGTTTAGCGTACATGAAAACCCCACTTCTTCCCCTAAAATTCTGTAAGCCCCCGTCAATTGTGTCTTGACGTGTTGTAAGGCTTTGTTTGATGTAAGTCCCCCGTCAATTGTGTTTTGACGTGTTGTAAGGCTTTGCATGTTAGGATTCCGTCATCGTCAATTCTTGATTGTACCTGTGCAATAAATATTTCGCTAACGTCGGTCGTTGGCTAAAAGCCAACGGCCCTCCGATGCTTAAGTTAGTGATCATTTGTGGATAAATGAAAGTAATCAATTGAGAATATGTATATGAAACTAAATATCGATCGTGAGAACCTATCTATTGTCAGACGATTTCAATCGTCTCGTCAGGTTTATTACCTGACGACATGCCCCCTGTCTGACGACTTCAGTCATGTCGTCTGGTCTATTTTATCACGTTAGTGATGTCAATATGCAAAAGAAAATTATTAAAAGTGAAACAATTTTAAGTGTACCGTATTGCAGCTCTTAAGAACCTGTCTACCATCGGACGACATGCCCCCCGTCCGACGACTTCGATCATGTCGTCTGATCTACCTTGTCACAGAAGTGACGACTTATTCCTCAGGCCTCGAATAAGACTTTCCATGCTTGTAGTCATCTCTCCTGGGAGGAGGTTCTGACTTTCTGTGCCCCCCGTCTTGTTCAATTTGTCTGTGACGACATCGTAAGTCTTCTTCTAGACGGATGAAAGCCAGTGCCCTTACTTGGACATCTTCAAAGGACCGACTAGGGTGTTTCGTCAACTCCTGATATAACTCTGAATCCTCCAGCAGTCCCCTTCTAAATGCTTCAATTGTCGTCGGTATGTGACACCTTGGGATTGACACCTTCTCCTTGTTGAATCGGTGCAAGTAATCCCTTAAGGGTTCATTCCGTCGCTGGACTACTCGGTAGAGGTCACTAGTGTGCTTCTCAAAGGCTCGGCTGCTTGCATACTGCTGATTGAATAAGTTGATCAGCTCCGCAAATGAATTGATGCTGTCGTTCGGCAGATTGACGAACCATGTCAACGCTGGTCCTGTCAACGTTGTCCCAAATGCCCGACACATGCAAGCTTCTCTCTGATGTGGTCTGACCGAGACGGCCAACATTTGTTGTTTGTACTGAGCGACATGTTCCACCGGATCAGAAGTCCCATCGAACAGTCTCATTGAGGGGGCGGTGAACTTCCTCGGAATCTCGACATCGGTGATATGTCGTCCGAAGGGTGAGTCTGCGTAACAGGTTTGCATCGCCATGTCAAGCGGACGTGGGACTCCAGGTATGTTGTTGAACTTCTCTCGCAATTCCCTCAATTCCTCCATGATGACGGCCAAGGGATCTGTCAAGTTTGTTTGTATCTGCAGATCCGCTGCTTCGAGAGGTGAATATATGGTGACGACCTCTGGCTCCTGACAGCTTCGATTATTGATGTCGT